CAGAGAGAAGATTATCTTGGGCTGTCCTTGAGGATGCCTATGGAAAGGACAAACAGCACTACCCACAGACTGGAGGAATAGAAATTCTGATCCAATATAAGGACAAGTATTTCTCCACGTGAGTGTTCAAAAAAAAAGAAGGAGATACCCAGAGAGGTCATGGTGTCTCCATGCTTGGGATGCATGCTGAGCTAACACGCCTTTTCATCCTCCCCATACTCCAGATAACCTTCTTGTTGTATCATTTCCCTTAGCAGGAGTGGGTTTGCTGTCCTGGTACATCAACACATGCAGGACATCCCGCTGAGCATCTGGGGCCTGCCACTGCCACCTTCTGGCAAGAGAAGAAATCGCAAATGCCTGATCCTGGCCCCATTCTGCAAAAGGAAGATTTTTAGGATTTTTTTTTTTTTGTAGTTCTTCATTTTCACTGTTTTTAGACCTCGAGTTTCCTATTCAATTGGTTCCAGCAAGCTTCAGAATGAGTTATATACATATGAAAAGGAGAAAGGGAGAAAAATTCAGGGAAAAACAAACAAACAAACAAAAAACTGCCTTGATTAAAGCAGTTGAATTCCATCATGTTATCCATGGTCTATGCCATGCCCTGATAAATGCCCTGAGCACTGCCAAGTGGTCACATGCAAGGTTCCACCATACACCCATTGGGTTACTGTACTTGATTTTTGTCTTCTTTCTTCAAATAGTGATATTAAATGGATGTCTCTCCTATAACCAGCAAGTTTAGCTGGTCTGAGCTCAGCAAGGATCCTTCCCTCATTCAATGATTCTATAATTTTATGATTCACTTGTGGGTTTTTTTTTTTTAATCATTTAGCATCTACATCTCAGATTTTTGACTTGCAAGCTGCCTACATGCTTATCCCAAGTCCTCCATGACAAAACTAGAAAATAATATACTTGTTTCCTGCAGACTACCTTTCATCTCCAGAGGTCTTCCTTGATCAACATCTCCTTGGAAGGCCAGTGAGTCCAATGTTTGTGGAGCCAAATGAAACAGTGGCAACAACCTGAGTTCTTTTGTTTCCAGAACCATTTTGGACATTGGCATTACATCTCTCAGAGATGCTCACCTAGAAATATGGATTTTAATGAAGAAAACAGCTTTGGCACATCAGGGTCAAAACATTAATGGTTTTCTCAGATCTAGAGAAACAGAATCCCCTAAGCACTCATAAATCAGGCTGCAAAACATGGAAGAACAGCAGAGAAGATCCTTTTGCAGGAAGGACAAATTCCAGGTTGGATTATCCAGATAAAAATATTTATTTCTTTGTTTCAAACCTAAGAAACTCACTGCTGTTATTCTACATTTACTACGCATTGCTCAGGCAACATAATCTTCTTATTCCATGATACTGAGCTAGGGTCCCTCAAGGCAGGCAATGCCTGGCCTTTGTCCATCAACAGGAATAGACTCCAGTGGCCTTCAGATGATAAGTACAAATTTATCCCCCCTTAGAGTCTGTAGGCTCAGCTTCATGGCTATGCAGCCTTGTGTCTAGTTCTGGGCTTTGGATCCAACCCAAAGCAATATTCTGTAATGAATATCTGTAACTCAGAACCATCCAAAAGAAACTGTTTGAAGCGTAACTTTTCTATTAATTCCATATCATTTTATTAGAGTATAACAAACATGATGTAACGTACACTACACGTATATTTATGTTAATATATTGAAAGAAATCAATATGTCTTTATTCTGCTTATTCTGTTACAATAAAGGTAATACACAATTACAAAGCTCACGCATATGCATTAGTAAAATCGACATTTCTTGGTAACCATCTCAGTGAAATGAGATCATTCAACAAAGCTGAAATAAAATGTATTAATATTTTTTCTGCAACACTTTATTGGCCTTATTATATTTTCATGAAGTGCTTCAGTTTTGATTAACTGGTAGGTTTGAGGCTGGAAAAGTGCTAGGAAAACGTTGGACCTGGGAAGCCTATTATGCTTTTTATTTCTCAATTGACACTAACAGCACAGAGTTGGACAAATTAATACACTCCATCAACTTCTGAAGCCTCTCATTTTCTGCTTTGCATGCAATTATGTGGTTAAAGGTAGTTCACCCTTGGGTCCCGACTCTCTGTTTCATTTGTATTAAGGTTTTCTCCTTGACCTGAGAGATCCTGGCTTCAAAGCATCTCTATCAAGTCTAGCAAAAGCCAGTAGATGGCAGGGTTGACTCAGGGCTTTGCTTGACTGTGCACCATAAGCGCTCCCAGCAAAATGCAGACTTGTGCACGTCTAGCTCTGTTTCAGCTTGAAACAACAGCATTTCAAATGGGAAAGCAGTTCCCCAAAGGAAAATAGTCAGACCCACATAACTTGCAGTGAAAGAACCCAACTTCAGCGTGCAAATCATTGAGTTCACAAGACTGAGGGTCTTGTAACAGCGCTCCAAGCATCCAAGCATCCAGATGAGTATCACATCTGCCTTGAGATAGGAGAGTATGGACAGCTGTATCTCACTCCAGCATGAAAGCACAACCTCCACAGATTATGCAGGGTTGGTGGGACTGCAGCCATCTCCATTGCAAAGATCTCCAGGAGGAAAGTTTTCTCAAGTAATGCATAACTTAAATGAATCAACACCAAGCAAGGACATCCTCTGCATATCAGGATCAAGCAATTGGCAATATTTGTTCTGGCTGTTTGTTCAAAGAAGTCACATCAAGTCTATTATTTTCCAAAAGGAGAAGGTCTGTCATTTGCAAGAAAAGAATCTCAAATCAGTGTTTGGAAGAACACTGCTCATTTTTTAAGTCCTCCTTTCAGCAAATAGCAAACCCAGTTGAATTTGAGCAGAAAGCACTGGTGCTGCAGTGTACAGTATGCACCATAATACACAATACATAAAAAATGGGAGCCCTTGTAACGTTAACATAGTGGGGGTGGGGGGTGGCAGCAGCTGCCATTGGAAATACAGCCATTTCCAGGATGGAAGCACAGAAACACAGGTTGCCCATGTAGGTTGTGGATGCCCCATCCCTGGAGGCATTCAAGGCCAGGATGGATGTGGTTCTGTGCAGCCTGGTCTGGTGGTTGGTGACCCTGCACATAGCAGGGGGGTTGAAACTAAATGATCATTGTGGTCCTTTTCAACCCAGGCCATTCTATGATTCTATGATTCTATGAAACCATTTTCTCATTAGCATGCTCCAAAGTGGGCAGTTTTTGACCTAAGCTGTTCAAATTTTCCAGTAAAAATTGCTCCAGGGTATTTTATATAAAGCAAAGCTGTCTCCCCTTAAAACCTTTTTCTGGTCAGAAAAGGTGAAGATCTGAGATTTTTACAAAGATTTCAATCTCTAATTCCACAAACCAAGTAAACATATTCAAAGCACTTAAGGGCTCGCCCTCCAGCTCCAAATCAGCCATTTGGTTTAACAAGCCTCCAGTTTCAATGATCTGTACATGCTGGGTTCTTACTCTATTTTCTTCATGTTGTTAATGTTTTTAATTACTACATTTGCATATTTTGAGGCTTTTTACCTGTGGGCTTTATGACAGCTGAGGTTCTCACATGATTTCAGATGATGGAGATTCAGGTGCAAAAAAATATCTACAGTGAGAACTGTTCATACGATGCCTGGAATTAAACTATTGAATTACATCTCTTGAACTTGACAGGCTGCTATACCCTCCCTGTCTCTCAAATGCACATATATCAATCAAAGTGATCTTTACCAGCTGTGTTTGAAAGGAAAAATTGCAAATCTCTCTTCTCCTCCATATTAAGTGTACAAGAATATACCGTGCAAGGAGAGAAAATGAGAGTAAAGAAAAAAGGAAGAAAAAAATATCTCCATATGCAATCTATTTACCATCTATGCGCTTAAGAACACGTGCAAGTTAACCTTCAGATCACATTCCTTGGCAATGCCATTAATGTAACATTTCTATAGGTTATACAGCCTGCTGACCACACTTTCTGCACCCTTGCTCCTTTGTATAAGCAATTCCTTGTTATGGGGAAACTCTAAAATGCCAAAGTAAGAACAAATGGGCCATTTGTCTGATATTCAGGTGGTCCTGAGTAGAGCCACGAGTTGGATTCAATGATTGCTATGGGTCCCTTCCAACTTGGGATATTCTATAATTTTATGTTTGGAAGAAGTGACCATGCCTTCTAGTCCTCCTCTTAGCTTTATCCCATGGCATTCTCTGGTGTGACAGCCTCAGGGCAGCCTTGTAAAGGCACAAACAAGCATTAGGACATAACTATGCTGGTGGCTTTTAATTCTAGTTCTTTCCTTGCTGTTGCAAGGATAATTTGAGTCCAAAATTAAGATGAGCAGGTAGCTAGAAGAGCCAGAGTTCCACTGCTGATGGGTAGAACACTCCAGATGCTGCCTTGGTCTCACATGATGGCATCCCCATCCCTTTGGTCTGCATATATCCCACAGGAACTACAGCATTTACTCACACCAGGCAGTGAGGAACAGCTTTATCCTGAAAAAAAGAGATTCTAACCTTTTCAGGAGGGAAGCTTGAAGGCTTAGGTGCAAGGAAGCTAGAGGATATTAACTGCCCCACCCCTTTGAAATTCTTCCATGGCTTGCCACGTGCTAATGCACATAGCAGAGGGCTGGACACTGGATCACAGTGCACCCCGAGCAGGATTGAGCCTTGCTAAACCTGGATGATGATGTAGGTTGAGATAAGCAGAGGAAGGCACATCTCAAGCCTAGTGAGATAATAGAGTACTGCGCATTCTTACCGGACTCATCACCTAATTGTGGGTTGCACTCACGATGACCAGCCATTCCTGTTGTATACCCCATCATTAGCCTCTATGACAGTTTAATTAATAGATGGGGAGCAAAGGAAAGGAAGCAAAGACATAATAATGCTTTTGTTGTAAGATGTCTATACAACCGCACACATCTTTCATTGATAAGTTGTTCATTACTCATTTAAGTGGGGACAGAGGTATAATTGAACAGTGGGTGCCACTTGGGAGTTCATTTTTTTTTTTTTTTGACACAAAATAGGAGAAACACAATCAAAGGAAAGGAGGGCAAGGCTGAAGAGTACCAAATATTGCAATCGAATTTTGCTGCTAGAGAAACTTTCGCCTAAGATTAAGGCTCACTTTCAGCTTGTTTTGAGTCTAGCAGGTAGGAAAAGTAGGTAGGAAACCAGTAAAACGTGGAGGCAGCAGGAAGACACATCTCCCATGGGATGGCTGAAAGCTTCCAGGAGCAGTGCAGTGGAGAGATCTGGGAAAATCCTGGGATCTGGAAGGCAGCAGATGTGGCAGGTTTGGTGAAGTCATAGTCTGTAGTCCACAGACAACATCAACCATCCAGGGATTGCAGCTTAAACTTAAATATCTGAATACTCATCTCTTCACCTCAGACTTCAATTGTATTCTGCAAACAGACCTTTGGCCCTGGCTCATTTAGGTACTGAAGTTATCCATAATCGTGATCCCAAGTCTGTAGCAGGGAAATTGAGGCACCAGGTCTCTGTATCACGCAGACTAACTTGTACAAGGCTAATTCGCAGTGTTAGGAGCAATAGGGTTGACTCAGATTCCAACGACTGGCATTTTTCACAAAAACGCACCTGGACAAAGCAGTGCCCAAAAGATGTGAAGCATACTGGCCAAAGGGTATTTTATCAGGGCTCTCAGAAAGGAGAGGGACAGGGAGGAGGTGGACTCACTGCTCAGAGGTGAACTGCTGAGATGGAGTGCTCAAAAAACACTTGAGAGGGTAAGAAGTTCTCATGCTGGGCATAATATTTGAGTTTTCCTCAAGTGTTCCTAATCTCTCTGGTGGCAGCAAGGAAACACACACAGTACACATCCCCGCTCAGGTAACAACAGGAGCATGTTTATTCAGGTCTGGCACTTACAGAGCTCAGAGGGACAAGGTACACGTCATTTGTTTTCCAGAAAAAGTCAGCCCGAGATTGGAAGAGATTTATAAAAAGAGACTCCAGCTGCGGGGGTTGGGAATTTGTCTCCACTGGGGTCATGCGTTCCCCATGCCTGGGGGGACATGTTGGGGCACATTGATGCCAGGCACCTCCAGGACCATCTGAACACTTGAGTGAGCGGTGTCTGGGGACAATTGCTTCTCAGTGAGTCCCAACCTTGTTTTAAGCAACCTTAGAAACTGGGGGCACGGGTTAAAAAAGCAGAAACCTTTCCAAAACAATCCACCGGGAAGTGCTAGAGTGCAGTGGGATACGTCCGAAGGAGGAGGAGAAGAAGGGTTAGGCTCAGCCACTCAGGTCTCTGATACTGGAAGAGCGTAAAGTCTGGGAAACAATCACTGTTGGAAGCCTGCTGAGAAGTAGAAGATCTCCTTGTAGGCAGCAATAGAGAAGACATCAGCTAAAAAGACCTGTGATGGCCAATGGAAGACAAGGCGCCATGTTGCAGAGGTGCAGAGGTCCCCGGGCGCTGGGTCTTCCTTGGCCTTCCCCATCACTCACGAGCCCTGAGGATGTAGACAAAGCTAACCAGGATACTCAAGGCCAGGACAGCATAGCTGGCTTTAACGCTGCTAGAGCCGCTGATGTTGCAGAGGAAGGAGTCGCAGCAGTAGACGGAGGCAGCCGCAATGCCGAGGTTAATCCCAGCACTGGGGCAAATGGGAGAGCAGCCTTTGGAGATGGACTGGCCAGACTTGCCACCTGAATTTAGGTTGGGAAGAAAAGCAGAAAGGAGACGAGTTTAAAACTTTTGGGCTTTCAGATCACATTTTGCAAAGGAAATAACGGTACTGAAAAGACAAGCAGCATAGAGGTTGTAGAGTTTCTCAGTAACCTACATCAATTTTTGCACCTCAAGAAACATTCCCACTGACTTTCCATAGTACCCAACACATCTTCCAGGCAGCTGGACAGAATTTGGAAATGTGGTGAAAAAAATAATCTCAAAAATCCCACACAAGCTCAATCCTAGGGCTTCTCAGGTGAGACTTGGAGGGCCAGAGAGGGATTCAAGAGCAAACACTGTGTTCTGAGCTTAGCACAGCTCGCATTTACCAGTGACAACAAGCAACAGGAAGCCGCTAGCAGGTGACAGGTTTATAAAAGCTTCCTGCCCCTGTTTATGCATGCACAAGCTGCCCACATTATGGGCTGCAAAACTTGGGTTTGAAACTGTCTTCCCTCCTGCATGCCAGAAGCAGAGGTTGGAGGAAATTGAGGCAACTCAGGGTGGGATGCAGGCTCAGCAGTGCCACCAGGAGACCTGGCAGAGCAGCCTGCTTTCCTGAGAGATCCTTCCGATTTTTCCTGGTGCCTGTTCCCTTCTGTCAAAAGCCCATGCTTGGTGAAGAAATTTGCAAATTCCTGGCAATCCTGCTGCACCCAGAAAGCAAAGCAATGGAAGGACTCGGAGATAACAACCAGAACAGCAGTCAGCACAGGGCAAAAACAGGAAGGGTAACCCTAGAACTTCCTCCAGAGGAAATCTTTTATCCTTCCAGTGAATTCATCAGCAACCTTCTGTCTCCATTCCTAAATTCCCTTCAGACTCCTAGCATGAGTGCATGCACGTGGGCCTTAACGTGACTTGGTTTGGCAGCAAGTTCCTCATAAAACACCCTTGGGATGGTCCGGCCCTCAGCAAACAAGCATCACTTTCTCCTTTCTCCAACCAAATGAAAGAAAACCTCCTTGCACCTCCCAAGGTGATCCAGATAAGAAGGGCAGAAGGTCTCATCACCACTCACCGATTCCCACTCCGACGTACGTTGTCACACAGTGGTTTTCATTCTCTGCACACTTGACAGGTGTCAGGCAGGCCCAGTTGGAGGATGCATCCGAGCACGAAAAGCAGACGAGCGTGTGGGCTGCAAGGAAAAGGCACATCTTAGCGAAGGGCCAGTGGGAAGATATCCCTGCTGTGGCTCCCACCTCCAATACTCAGCACTCGCTGCACCCAGCCACAGCCCACGCTTGCTGTGTCAATCTGTGACAGGCTTTTTGTTTCCAAAATTTGTCCAAGTGAAGGGTTCAAGCAGAAGGAATACATTTTAAGGTCTTGGTTGGAGACTCTGGCTAGTTGGCCAATAAAAGTCTCCATGCCATTGCAGGTCAGCCTGCTACTTTACGGCATGTGCCTGTTTATACCAAGAGCAGGTCCATGTCAACCTGAAACACAAAAACAAGCTCAGGCTTGCAGACTGGAGTCTGAAATTTACGCTTACTCACCATTGCCGCAGTGGTCACTGATGGGAAATGCCCCAGGTGTGATGTGACTACAGGTTTGAGTCTTTCATGGCGTGCCTTTGGCAGTAGGACACAAAGCTCAGGCTATGCTCAAGCTAACACATGGTAGAAATGATTTGCTAGCAAGAGCAAGCCCAGCATTTCAGCACAGCCTGCAAGGACATGTACTGCCCTGCTACCCAGGGAGTCATAGCACTATGATGGCAGCATATGCAACTGACTCTTCTAATTCAGGGCAAAGGGAGAACAAATGAGCATGATTTTCTACATGGCAGACCCCCCTAATGTGGTCTACCCCCTACACTAGGGGAATGGATTGCACAAGGCTAGCTCCCTTCTCATATCCTTCAGGTCTGCCCATGTAAAATCAAAGATTGGGAAACAGCATTTAGTGGAGGGAAATGATTGCAGAAACAGCCTGGACCAGTGACTCAGCATTGACATGTGTATTTTGCAGTGGACAGATGATCTTCTCTGTATTTTACATACAGGAACATCACATCCACACTGCAACTGTTGACCTACATACACAGAGAGCTGGTCTGTTCCCAACGCTTGACAGGCTCTGATTTTGGAGCATTCAGACTGCAAACTCTTCCGTGAAGCCCTGCCTCTCCCTTCCTTGTTTATAGGATGCAAAATGGAGGAGAGGAAGATTCAGGATGGGGGGAAGTACAAGGCTGCCTTGTACTCCTGTTCCTTATCCTTTTCACCCCCATGGCAAACAGATTATCCTAAGAAGGGGATATCAGAGAAGCCCTGGATGATTTTGCTAAGGCTTGGCAGTCCCTGCTGTGGTATATTTTGAAGAATAAATTGGAAAAATGTTGATAGCACCTGTCCCACTCTGCTATGGACTTGCATGACCTCTTGAGGTTCTTCTCAATCTTGTCTCTCTCAGAAAAAATATAAAAAGTCCTTTATGGGAAAATTGGGGAAAAAAAAAAAACCAATTGTACTCAGAAGAATGATTTTTGAGCAGCAATGGCCAAGGCAGGGGAAAAAAAAGAATGAAGCAAAAACACAATAGCAAATCTCACAGAAACAGATCAAAGCAGGTTAGTGGGTGGGCCTGAATCCAGAGATGAAGCCAACAACTCCTTAGCAAGAATTTCCTGGAGTGTCTCATAGAGCCTTCAACCATCATCATCAGTCTGCCAACGACCCTGCCAACAAAGCAGTGTTATCCCAACATGCCAACAGCACAGTCACAACCTACATAAAGCATCCAGGATTACAGGGCCACCAGTTGAGTCAAGGCCTCAGGGGAGATTCCTCATTGGAACATGCCTTTGGGTCTAGGAGAGGAGGAGGACTAAGAGAAAGGCAGGACTGAGCCACTCATTGCATGGCCATCACTGACTGTCAACGCCATTTCCACGGATTGGCATCCTTCACTTCACTGGCCAAAAATCAGCCTGAGACATCCAAGGAAAGCCTGGCTCCTTCCTTTTCCACTATCCTCAGTATGTTCCTGCTCTCAAGTCTCAGCTGACTATCCCAAACCCTTCTTCTTGCAACCACCCTGATGGCCAACTGAGGCCCAAGAAGACAAAGCGACTCATTCCATCTCACGGGAATCATCAGCAAGCAGGAATAAAGTGGATTACAGACTTCCCATGAACATTATGGTAGCACATCCATTCCCATAAGCTTTTGCTTATTATGCTGAATGCACAAGTAGAGTGGTGCAGTACTATTCATTATGCCTTAAAGATTACACATCAGAAATATTTGTATGTACAGATAAAAGTGCCTCTAGGCATTAAATCCCCTGCCACTGAATCTGTGTTCTTAACACTGTCCTGTCCACACCTTTTCCTTTGTCACATCTGTCTATTACGCTTTGTCTAAACGTAGACTAAGTCTTCCCAGGATAGGTAAGTCTTGCAGCATAGTTTAAGAGAGAAAATATTCAGTCTTAATTAACTACTGCTGCTTTCTGCTTAGGCAAAACAGAACTAAATGACCGACTGCAGAGTGAGGAGAGCAAGCAGGCTGCGTACTTCAGACAAAAGGCACAAGAGGGAAGCAGAATTATTTTACGCAGCTGGAGACAGAGCAAAGAGTTGGAGCCCAAGGCTAAAGGAAGAAAAAGAAAAAAAAAAAAAAAAAAAAGACTGAACAATGCAAAAAGAAAGACTCGTTTTCATCAACTAGAAAAGACAGTTTTCTTCAATAGGAAGAATTTATGTGTTTATTTGTTTGCTGCTTGGCTCCTTGGAGGAACAAAGAGCTTCTAAACCAGAGCAGATAATTTGGGATAATTCTTCAGATAAGAGGTTGAACCCCTCCTTGCAAAGAGCAATGCAAGGACAACAAAAAAGCCTTTAAAAGCCCACTCTAAAGCTCAGCAGCACCAGTGAAAAACGCCAAAAAACGCTGTTGCTTCGGCAGTTCTCCATTCATCCCTACGCCAAATGTTCTTTTCCTTACATTGCTCTTAGACAAGATTCTTACACACCATATGCCAGCTCTTCGGGGCACTTTGAACACTAGGCAAAAAAAAAAACTCCCTGGATGTGCTGGAAATATTTGCAGATAAAGCAAACTCGCAGCAAAGCCTTTTGCCTGGGTAAGAAGAACCTAATCGTAAGTGGAAGTGGGTTTTTTTAGAAGGGGGTGGGAGGGGGGGAAATGCATTAACCTCTTCTTGCCTGGGCCTGAGCACATGCCAACTGGGTTTTGACGGAGACACAGAGCTTAAACTGCCAGTTACTTCACAAACCCCAAGAGTAGGAGGGTATAAGAAGGGCAGAAAACAGTTAGTTTCTTCTCATTGGTGTCCTCGAGAGCCACAGAGAGGGTCTGTGCTTCTTGACAAGAGGGTCAGATGACAAAAAAAATTCTCCCAGTTTGCTCTTTGTCTGGCTTTCTCCAAGAACTGCCACACGAAAACAACACAGGGTTTTGCATGGCCCCATGGAGTTCGGCTAGGCAGAAATTGAGTCATGGAGACTGCAGACCTGCAACTTAGCCAACTTGCAGTTTCACACCCAGCAACAGGCACCACGTTGGCCCTGGGTTCAAGAGCAGCTCCAAGACGTTACTCCACACGACCCTGTCCCTTGGGGGTGCCATCTCCCACCCGCTGGCCATAAGAACGCTGGGGAACAACAGCAGCCAGAATCTCAAGCGGTTCTCCCCAGACTTGACTCCATCTGCCATTACCGGGGCAGGTCTCCATCTCTCCACCCTCTCTCTCCCCCCTCCCCCCCACCATCCTCCTTCCTCCCTTCCCCTCGGCAGCATCTCGGCCCATTTCAGCGCCGTTATCCCGACTCGCTGCAGCGAAAGGGGGGAGCGGAGCCACCCCTGCTCTTTGTTCGAGCTGCAACTGGGAAAAGCTCCAAAATACAGACGTGCACAGCTAGAGGTGCGCACCTATAATACAGACACTGAAGTTCCAGCTGCAAGAGGTACACTGCTGAGAGGTCTAGGCAAGATCTCCCTCCCTCTCCCAAAACCTCCGCCAACCTCTTGCACCACTCAGCCCCGTTCCCCCCCTCCCTCCCCCCCACCTCTTTCGCTACCCGCATGCCTACAACTTCCAGACCACCCCCTGCAAGACGCAGACCCCACTAATTCGCTCCCAAAGCAGGGAAAAGCTTGGAGGACCTCGAGAAGATGTGGTGGTATCCGGGGGTAGCCCTCTTACCTCTCTCCACGCACAGCACCGCAGCCAACACGGCGAACAGAAACGCCTTCATGGTGCGGCGATGGGGCCGAGGAGATGCGCAAAGAGACGACAAGCGCGCTATGCTAGCGGTAGGGCTGAGCGCTTGGGGGCGGGAAAAGGGCACCGGCGACGCCCAGCGGTCCGCCTCCACGCCCTGCGCCGCCCTCCCCCTCCGCCTCCCCGGCCTCCGCTGGTTTCGTTTCCCCGCTCCGTCGCTCCGGAGGCCGGGAAAGGGGTAGGCGTTAAGGGGGGATGTTGGCGCGCGGAGCGGTCAGAGGTTTCGTGAGAGCAAAACCAGCTTTCCTCCGGCCCCTTACCTCCCTGCCCCCATTTCAAGGCTTTTTCCACCCCGCCCCGTTCGCTCGATGTCCCTGGGGGAAGGGCGTCATTCAGCAGGGGAACCCCTTACATGCAGATTTTTATTCGTGCATGACCCTCTTCATGAGCAACGCGTTGCATTCACAACTCTTTTCATCCACTGTATTTATGTCCCCTGCGTGCACGTGTGCTCCTGATACATCCACAACCACCCTGCATGCCTCTGTGCGTGACCGGATCCCCTGCCTGCACAAACATATATGCAAGACTCATGATATGTATGGTGCCTTCTTTTCACGTATGCTGCATGCACAGCTCCATGCATACAAAACTAGATGGACTAGATTATCTTTAAGGTCTTTTCCAACCTTAATGATTCTATTATTATAAGACCCAAGCAAGTAAGGAACCAGCTTTCTGACCTGCTTACCAGATCCGAAATGGGATTAAATGTAGACATAGAAAGTGCTAGGCTAGGCAGCAGAGACAGCATGGGACATTCTGACCTATGAGGCAGGACAGGTCTTCAGAGCACAGAGCGGTCCAATAAAAAGCATTGCAGTTGTGACCCAGGTTCGGTAAGTTCCAAAGAAATAGGAAAGTCTTGCAGGAAATGAGCCTGATAGAGGCCGCTGAGGGAGGGAGCCTGAGAAGTTTGCTGTTGAAGGGAGTCTGGGATTGCAGGTTTGACAAACTCTGTATGCCACAGATGGGTTTAATTCTGCAGAATCAGCATTTTCTAGCAAATGAGTCTGAGTCTTGTTGGAAGAAATTCCAGTCCTGACTTTTCAGTGTGGATTCAGAGTCCTCTACTTTGAAACCAAATCTGTGCCCACAAACTCCCTCTTCCCTCATTTCTTTCATGGCTCATTTTTATTTATCATCGGCAGTTATTCTAGCAGGAACTGAGTGTGTCTGGTGTGTTTTTGTGGTCTAATGTCTTCCACTGAAATCAGCTGCTAGTGCTGTTTCTTTCTTTGGTTTGCAACTCAGATGCACAAAGCCTGTCAAGTTTCAGCTTTGAAATAGCTTGAGCATAATTCAGTTGCTCTGTGCACCATCACATTAACTCACAAGATACCAGTATCATAGAGTGCCCAATGACGACATTAGGCATTATCTGTAAGAGTCAGTTTGACTTTTTGTAGACAATATGTGAGCAATCTCATGGCACATCTGGTTATCAAGAAGGCAAAGCATGTTCTTTCATCCTTCCTGCTCCGTTGGTGTCTTGTATGCTCCACACATCCCCAACAGAAACATACAAACACGTACAGCACTCTGGTTTTCTCAGCCCCACAAATTTAACATTATCAGTTCCATTACTTCATGGAGAGAATTCTTTCCTCTGCTGGGAAGGAAAAAAGAGGACCTTAAAGTGACAGGGCACGATTCACCACAGGATCTGGAGTCATCCCAGAAATACTGAAATGACGGGGTAAGGACAGCAATAATTATAGGATGCTGCCAGTAGAACAGGTGAGCAGAGTGCCTAGAGACCAATTTGCTATGGTAGATGGTATGGAAAAAGCACCAGGTAAGGAAGCTCTTCTGAAAACTCACTGATCTAAAGCTCACATCTCCCACACCACAGCCTTGGTAAGGAGGATGGCAAAGTTGTGATTGTCTCATGGCAGGGCTTTATTTTCTAAAGCAACATACAGCCAAACAGTGTTGAATGGCCTAGCCTTAGAGGTTTGGGGCTTGTTGAATGAATTTGCTGAAGTATAGGGTTCATATTGTGAATGCAAGGTGCAAAAATATGTCCTCAGAGGCAGTGAAAAAGGCAGAAGGGGTAAAACCCAGCAGCAGGAACGTGGTCCGTGCTGTGGAGAAGTGGATTCAGGTAAAGAAATATGCTCAAGGTAATCCTTTTACCTTGGGAGGTAAAAAGAAGCAGCTGGAACTGAAAGCAAAGTAGTGCTAGAGTTAAGTATTACACGGTTTGCTCTGTGCTGGGGAGAAATGGCCAGTTTGAAAATAAGGAAATGGAGATAATGGCAGCTTCCTTCACGGGTCAAGAAGACGGGTTAGCAGGGATCAGTGCAGCAATTAAAACTGGAATTACTATGTCTGCAAGGTTTTAGGGCTGAACTGACACTTTGGGAGTTTGCTCAGCATTTGCATAGGCTGGTGGCATGCAGAAAGTTTCCTTCACTATATATTCTCAGTTTCAAGGCTTGGGGAGAATGCCTGACTCTGGCCAGGGCTGTCTCTATGAAGCACCTGTACCCCAGTGGGATTTGCAAATGAGGTGTTTCTCCTGCTAGTGGAGCAGAATGGCTTCCCAGAGCAAATCTGCTAAAACCACTTTGCAAAGATTGCCCATTGGCAAGCCAAGCCACATGTGTTTCTTTGAACTTTCTTGCTGTCTACAGTGCCAAAATACTCACTTCCTCTCCATCACCTTGACAAGGCACCCTTTGCTGCAACCCCTGGGGACGAACCTAAGATAACTGACTATGTGGATGTGTAGTCTTTGGACTGCAGTATATACTAGAATAGGACCTTCATCAGATCAGTGCAAACAGAAGTCAGGAGCAGGCAGTCATAGTCAGGCTGACAGATTTATGAACTGTCATTTGTAGTTGGTGTCAACATGTCCGATTTCCCTCTTTCCCAGAGCCATTAAGGTGAAGGTAGTTCACTGACTGCTGCATGTCCAATCAGTATCCACGGCAGCATTCTTCCTAATTCCATTCTGTATGACTCACATTCTGTCTTGCTTGTTTATTTTAGGCTTTTTGAACTGTGAAGCATTAAGCAGAGGTCATTACTTAAGTAAAGTTACATTCTGATTGCTGCTGTTGAAGTGTACTGGAGGATATGTCCCTGTCTGGAACAGCCAGAATACCTCCAAATAAAGGTTGCTCTAGAATGATGCCCTCCAGCATTATAAACCAGCTCCTCTACGCAAACCTGACCCTTCTGTCCTTGACTGGACTATTTGGTTGGCATGCATATCTCCAGCCTTGACCAGAATGACCCTTGGAGCCATGCTGTCATTATTTTAACTCCAGTTCTGGTTTTGGCCTCATTTTCTAGATGGCCACTGGACTTAAGCCTTTTCTCCAGCTCTGTCTGCTTGATGACCTTTGGACCTGAATAGTACAAATCCCATCTCCAGTCCTATCTCTGTTTCCTGGCTGAAATTCGGACACATGTTGTAGCTTTGTTTCCATTCCTGGCATCTTTTGAACTGTAGTGAGGTTCTGCAGCCTTTCTGCAAAGGTTTCTGTCCTCTCCAAGTGCAGGGCCTTAAGTGCCTGGTGGTTCTGGGAAGAGAAGAAGCATTCCAGACCTTTCCCATCCCTTCCATCAAAAACGTGTCACGCTGAAGCTGCAGGCATGATGCTGGACTTGGGGAGATTTGTAGTACAAATGCTAAGTTCAGCATGGGTAAAATACGATTGCATATATGTCCACGTGTGTGAAGGCACCTAGAAGAAATAGAAACACAAGGGTTAAGAGGGAAGGCATGTGTTTTCTGCTGTATTCACCATTCTGTATTGGATTGCTTTCAAACAAAGCAGAACAACAAAGTGACCTTAAGTAAGAGAATGGAGATGGTGTGAGAGCAATAAAATGCCCAGATAAGCTAAACAAAAGAACCGGGAAGTTCAGGATTTTTGAGTTAAAAGAGGCAAAATAAAAGGAAAAATGAGCCAAGACAGCTTCTTTCCTTCCAAAGGGTATAAAAGGCAAATCCAAAATCAGCCTGTGCTCTGCCAAGTACCTTAGAAGTATAGTAAGGACTGCATAGCTGTCATTTCTTGTCTAAGTGTGGCATAGAATTGACACTGGCCAGATCAGCTGGGCAGTATCACACATGTGCTTGTGAGAAAGTGAATAGATTAAATCTGTAAGAATAAGTTTGAGAAGGCAAAATCAACCTGCTTAAATATTTCGTATGATAAAATTGCTTTCTTCTCCCGGAAGTTATTGCACTCCGTTTTATTACACTCATTTCCTCTAGACTGCAGAAAGATTGTTTCTTGTTCCCAAGAGCACCGTCTGCAGGTTATCTAATTGCTGATTACATCAAATGCTGGAGCAGGCCCTGGAGCCAGGGGCAGGTCCCAGGTGAGCTATTGTGAACACCAGGCACAGAGCCAGTGCTTGCTTCCTGGTTCTCCAGCACTGAACTTCTTTTCATGCATGATGAACCTCATTGTGCATGATGACAGTGCTCTGCATGGTGTTCAGGGGTTTACCTGGGTGAGAAATCAGCTGAAAAAGGAGAAATCCATATCTCATTCGTATTATGCAGAGCTGTGCCAGCAAATCTAGTGCTTGTACTGCTGATGCTGGGTACCCTGGAGGTGTTCTGGGATTGAACATCCTTTGGAGTGATCTTCCTATGTGATGTCAGTGGAAGAGCATTTCTGGGTCACATTTGGTGCTATAAAGCAAAGTCAAGCCTGAATAGCACAACACAATTATACTTTAATGAAGAAATCATAGAATCATAGAATCACCAAGGTTGGAAAAGACTTCCAAGATCATCCAACCATCCACCTACCAATATTTCCACACTAAATCATGTAAACTTAGTACAACATCTAAACATTTTTGGGCTAGGAAAGAAAAGGTAGCCAGAGCCCTCAACAGCTACATGAGAATGAATGATAGAAGGGAGAGAAAGGAGATGGGGGGGACCAGGAAGGATGTCCAAGTTCATTCTCCTTCTCAAATAGACACTAATGAGATGCTGAGGACAGTATTTCTGTCATGCATCTGGATAATGATAATCTGCTGATGCTGGAGGCAGTTCTCCCAGCAATCAACTCCAGCTCTTCTTCCCTTAGA